AAAAATGTGAATGGAAGTGGCGACGTAAAACTGACACAAAACAACAACACACTTTAGCCGAGCCAATGGAAAGTTTCATCCCCAGCACGGGGTAAAACCCACCAATGAGCGCTCAGCTCGAGATACCAGCGAGTCGTTTCTCATCAAGCATTTCGCTTCCGCAGCCCGGGGAGAGAAACTGCGCCGCCTCGCCGAGCCTCGCTCTCAAGTCTGCGGGCGTCTTTGTCCCGCGAGATTTCAACGTCTCATGTAGGCGAGCCTCCAGAGCAAGTCGGACAAAATGACTAACCATCATGCAACGCACGAGCAAGACGTTGATCGCAATTGCGCAGGTCTGCGCAGGTCTCGCTTGTCTCAAACAAGCCTACTGCGTTATGGGAGAAAAACACTGCTGCGTCATGGGAGAAAACACACTGCATCATGGGAGAAAACATACTGCATTATGGGAGAAAACACACTGCATTATGGGAGAAAACACACTGCATCATGGGAGAAAAACACTGCTGCGTCATGGGAGAAAACACACTGCATCATGGGAGAAAACACACTGCATTATGGGAGAAAAACACTGCTGCATCATGGGAGAAAACACACTGCATTATGGGAGAAAACACACTGCATTATGGGAGAAAAACACTGCTGCATCATGGGAGAAAACACACTGCATCGTGGGAGAAAACACACTGCATTATGGGAGAAAAACACTGCTGCGTCATGGGAGAAAACCAAGCCCCCAGGAAGTGCGCCGGACTCTGATGAAAATATTCGTGCTGGCCAAACTACACTTCCTTTTGGTTGCCAGGCCCAGAAACACTTTTTCCCATTGACTTACATGGGGAAAGAGTGGTCTGTAAATCGTTGGATAATTTTTTTTAAACTAAATAAACTACCCAGTATGAACACTTGTATAGCCCTTATTAAAAACATTCGTTCCTCAAGTTGTAAAAATGTGCTAATAACGTTATTCTGAGAGTTATTTCCCTCTGCATTATGAACGCGCATCTAACCCACGGGACCGCGCCGCCCGGCACGTTCATGTTACGTGTTCAGCACTACATGCGTTTATCTTTACCCATGGATGCACAATAAGAACGGACCCATATCGCCTTACTGCCAGCCCACGGAGCTGTAATAATGGATATATTGCACATGTTTGCTGTAATTCATCATTTGTAAAATATTATACTACATGGGCTGTATGATTAAATCTTGTACCGTAAATGTTGTATTAAATAAAGTTAATATTACCGACGTAGATTAACGTCCCTGTAGCTTCTTATTGCACTAAGAAGCTTATTGCACTGTATATATATATATATACAGTGCACTAAGAAGCTTATTGCACTGTATATATATATACAGTGCAATAATTCTTTCATGCTAAATGAAGCTCTGTTGCTTGGATATCACTAGATCCTGTTACAGCGTAATATAAAAGTACATAACGATTGATGTGTAAATTAGCATAATTACTAGCTAACCGCTACCTGCTAACTGCCGCCTCGTTAATATCAAATCTATCATAACAAACCATTACCATGCTGTCATGAACCTGCGGTGCTGTTACGTGTACGCAAATTGACGTGCTTGATGTGAACGAGCATTTTGGGGGGCATGGTTAAAGTTGCGCATGCGCTATGAGCGCACATACGGGTACTTCTCAGGCATGCTGGGTAATCTGTGACGTTTCGCTCTCTCAAAAGTTGGGCCATTTTATCATCATGCGCGAATGAGCAACTCTCATAGGAATGAATGAGGCCCCGCCTCCCACGCTGTATCCAGTTCTTATTATACATCCATGGAGAAAACACACTGCATGATGGGAGAAAAACACTGCTGCGTCATGGGAGAAAACACACTGCGTCATGGGAGAAAACATACTGCATCATGGGAGAAAACACACTGCATTATGGGAGAAAACACACTGCATTATGGGAGAAAAACACTGCTGCATCATGAGAGAAAACACACTATGTCATGGGAGAAAACACTGCTGCATCATGGGAGAAAACACACTACGTCATGGGAGAAAACACACCGCATCATGGGAGAAAACACACTGCATCATGGGAGTGTGTGTGTACCAGGTAGTGGAAGTGTGTGTGTGTATGTACCAGGTAGTAGTAGTAGTGTATGTGTGTGTGTGTGTGAGAGTACCAGGTAGTGGTAGTGTGTGTGTGTGTCACTGTGTGTGTGTGTGTGTGTCACTGTGTGTGTCACTGTGTGTGTGTGTGTCACTGTGTGTGTGTCACTGTGTGTGTGTGTGTGTGTGTGTGTGTCACTGTGTGTGTGTCACTGTGTGTGTGTGTGTGTGTGTGTGTGTGTGTCACTGTGTGTGTGTGTGTGTGTACACGTACCAGGTAGTGGTAGTCCCTCTCTATCCTGCAGCGCTTCCTCAGCTCGAGGTCCAGCTGGTTCCTGGAGTGTTTGAGCTGCACCTCGCTCCTCAGCAGCTGCTCCTTGGTGTGTTTGAGAAGCAGCTCGTGCTCCTGGAGCTGCAGCTCAGCGTTCAGCCAGCGCTGCCGTCCGGCCTCCAGCCCGCGCACCACTGCTACTAACTCTGTGACAACAATATATTATATATATCCTCTGCTACTAACTCTGTGACAACAATATATTATATATATCCTCTGCTACTAACTCTGTGACAACAATATGTTATATATATCCTCCACTGCTACTAGCTCTGTGACAACAATATATTATATATATCCACTGCTACTAACTCTGTGACAACAATATATTATATATATCCTCCACTGCTACTAACTCTGTGACAACAATATATTATATATATCCACTGCTACTAACTCTGTGACAACAATATGTTATATATATCCTCCACTGCTACTAGCTCTGTGACAACAATATATTATATATATCCACTGCTACTAACTCTGTGACAACAATATATTATATATATCCTCCACTGCTACTAACTCTGTGACAACAATATATTATATATATCCACTGCTACTAACTCTGAGACAACAATATATTATATATATCCTCCACTGCTACTAACTCTGTGACAACAATATATATTATATATATATATCCACTGCTACTAACTCTGAGACAACAATATATATTATATATATCCACTGCTACTAACTCTGTGACAACAATATATTATATATATCCACTGCTACTAACTCTGTGACAACAATATATTATATATATCCTCTACTGCTACTAACTCTGAGACAACAATATATTATATATATCCACTGCTACTAACTCTGTGACAACAATATATTATATATATCCTCCACTGCTACTAACTCTGTGACAACAATATATTATATATATCCTCTACTGCTACTAACTCTGAGACAACAATATATTATATATATCCACTGCTACTAACTCTGTGACAACAATATATTATATATATCCTCCACTGCTACTAACTCTGTGACAACAATATATTATATATATCCACTGCTACTAACTCTGAGACAACAATATATTATATATATCCTCCACTGCTACTAACTCTGAGACAACAATATATATTATATATATCCACTGCTACTAACTCTGTGACAACAATATATTATATATATCCTCCACTGCTACTAACTCTGTGACAACAATATATTATATATATCCACTGCTACTAACTCTGTGACAACAATATATTATATATATCCACTGCTACTAACTCTGTGACAACAATATATTATATATATCCTCCACTGCTACTAACTCTGTGACAACAATATATTATATATATCCACTGCTACTAACTCTGTGACAACAATATGTTATATATATCCTCCACTGCTACTAGCTCTGTGACAACAATATATTATATATATCCACTGCTACTAACTCTGTGACAACAATATATTATATATATCCTCCACTGCTACTAACTCTGTGACAACAATATATTATATATATCCACTGCTACTAACTCTGAGACAACAATATATTATATATATCCTCCACTGCTACTAACTCTGTGACAACAATATATTATATATATCCTCTACTGCTACTAACTCTGAGACAACAATATATTATATATATCCACTGCTACTAACTCTGAGACAACAATATATTATATATATCCACTGCTACTAACTCTGTGACAACAATATATTATATATATCCTCTACTGCTACTAACTCTGAGACAACAATATATATTATATATATCCTCTACTGCTACTAACTCTGAGACAACAATATATTATATATATCCTCCACTGCTACTAACTCTGTGACAACAATATATATTATATATATATATCCACTGCTACTAACTCTGAGACAACAATATATATTATATATATCCACTGCTACTAACTCTGTGACAACAATATATTATATATATCCACTGCTACTAACTCTGTGACAACAATATATTATATATATCCTCTACTGCTACTAACTCTGAGACAAACAATATATTATATATATCCACTGCTACTAACTCTGTGACAACAATATATTATATATATCCTCCACTGCTACTAACTCTGTGACAACAATATATTATATATATCCTCTACTGCTACTAACTCTGAGACAACAATATATTATATATATCCACTGCTACTAACTCTGTGACAACAATATATTATATATATCCTCTACTGCTACTAACTCTGAGACAACAATATATTATATATATCCTCCACTGCTACTAACTCTGTGACAACAATATATATTATATATATATATATCCACTGCTACTAACTCTGAGACAACAATATATATTATATATATCCACTGCTACTAACTCTGTGACAACAATATATTATATATATCCACTGCTACTAACTCTGTGACAACAATATATTATATATATCCTCTACTGCTACTAACTCTGAGACAACAATATATTATATATATCCACTGCTACTAACTCTGTGACAACAATATATTATATATATCCTCCACTGCTACTAACTCTGTGACAACAATATATTATATATATCCTCTACTGCTACTAACTCTGAGACAACAATATATTATATATATCCACTGCTACTAACTCTGAGACAACAATATATTATATATATATCCTCCACTGCTACCAACTCTGAGACAACAATATATTATATATATCCACTGCTACTAACTCTGAGACAACAATATGTTATATATATCCTCCACTGCTACTAACTCTGTGACAACAATATATTATATATATCCTCCACTGCTACTAACTCTGTGACAACAATATATTATATATATCCTCTACTGCTACTAACTCTGAGACAACAATATATTATATATATCCACTGCTACTAACTCTGTGACAACAATATATTATATATATCCTCCACTGCTACTAACTCTGTGACAACAATATATTATATATATCCACTGCTACTAACTCTGAGACAACAATATATTATATATATCCTCCACTGCTACTAACTCTGTGACAACAATATATTATATATATCCTCCACTGCTACTAACTCTGTGACAACAATATATTATATATATCCACTGCTACTAACTCTGAGACAACAATATATTATATATATCCTCCACTGCTACTAACTCTGAGACAACAATATATTATATATATCCTCCTCTGCTACTAACTCTGTGACAACAATATATTATATATATCCTCCACTGCTACTAACTCTGTGACAACAATATATTATATATATCCACTGCTACTAACTCTGTGACAACAATATATTATATATATCCTCCACTGCTACTAACTCTGTGACAACAATATATTATATATATCCTCTACTGCTACTAACTCTGTGACAACAATATATTATATATATCCTCTGCTACTAACTCTGTGACAACAATGTTATATATATCCTCCACTGCTACTAGCTCTGTGACAACAATATATTATATATATCCACTGCTACTAACTCTGTGACAACAATATATTATATATATCCTCCACTGCTACTAACTCTGTGACAACAATATATTATATATATCCTCCACTGCTACTAACTCTGTGACAACAATATATTATATATATCCACTGCTACTAACTCTGAGACAACAATATATTATATATATCCTCCACTGCTACTAACTCTGTGACAACAATATATTATATATATCCACTGCTACTAACTCTGAGACAACAATATGTTATATATATCCTCCACTGCTACTAACTCTGAGACAACAATATATTATATATATCCTCCACTGCTACTAACTCTGTGACAACAATATATTATATATATCCTCTACTGCTACTAACTCTGTGACAACAATATATTATATATATCCTCTACTGCTACTAACTCTGAGACAACAATATATTATATATATCCACTGCTACTAACTCTGAGACAACAATATATTATATATATCCACTGCTACTAACTCTGTGACAACAATATATTATATATATCCTCTACTGCTACTAACTCTGAGACAACAATATATATTATATATATCCTCTACTGCTACTAACTCTGAGACAACAATATATTATATATATCCTCCACTGCTACTAACTCTGTGACAACAATATATATATATATATATATCCACTGCTACTAACTCTGAGACAACAATATATATTATATATATCCACTGCTACTAACTCTGTGACAACAATATATTATATATATCCACTGCTACTAACTCTGTGACAACAATATATTATATATATCCTCTACTGCTACTAACTCTGAGACAACAATATATTATATATATCCACTGCTACTAACTCTGTGACAACAATATATTATATATATCCTCCACTGCTACTAACTCTGTGACAACAATATATTATATATATCCTCTACTGCTACTAACTCTGAGACAACAATATATTATATATATCCACTGCTACTAACTCTGTGACAACAATATATTATATATATCCTCTACTGCTACTAACTCTGAGACAACAATATATTATATATATCCTCCACTGCTACTAACTCTGTGACAACAATATATATTATATATATATATATATATCCACTGCTACTAACTCTGAGACAACAATATATATTATATATATCCACTGCTACTAACTCTGTGACAACAATATATTATATATATCCACTGCTACTAACTCTGTGACAACAATATATTATATATATCCTCTACTGCTACTAACTCTGAGACAACAATATATTATATATATCCACTGCTACTAACTCTGTGACAACAATATATTATATATATCCTCCACTGCTACTAACTCTGTGACAACAATATATTATATATATCCTCTACTGCTACTAACTCTGAGACAACAATATATTATATATATCCACTGCTACTAACTGAGACAACAATATATTATATATATCCTCCACTGCTACTAACTCTGAGACAACAATATATTATATATATCCACTGCTACTAACTCTGAGACAACAATATGTTATATATATCCTCCACTGCTACTAACTCTGTGACAACAATATATTATATATATCCTCCACTGCTACTAACTCTGTGACAACAATATATTATATATATCCTCTACTGCTACTAACTCTGAGACAACAATATATTATATATATCCACTGCTACTAACTCTGTGACAACAATATATTATATATATCCTCCACTGCTACTAACTCTG